AGGGGTAAAAAAAAAACTCTTTTAACATGGAAGAATATTCTTCCTATGGCTTCTTTGAGATCCAGGTGGGCAACCCTTCCATCCCTGAACTCATAGAAAATCTTGAGTATCACCTTAAGGTAGAGAAATGGTCTTTTAAAATCAAGCGTTCTTCTTGCTCCTCCTTCTTTCTTCAGTTCCCTAACTAGAAAACTCTAGCTTTAGCGTGTTCTAAAGAGTTCTTCGACATGGGTTCTTTTGGAGGTGTATTCTCGCGTTGGTCTGATGAATAGGGACTCAAGGTCCTGCCCAAGTTCATGTATGTTTGGGTCGATATTCTGGGACTCCCCAGGACCGGATGGCCTCCATATGTGGTTCTTCCATAAATTTTGGCTTGTTATCCAAAATTATGTCATATCCTTCATTCCATCTCTTTTCCATGATGTTAGACCCCTTCACAACATAAACTTTTCTTTTATTTGCCTGATACCAAAGAAGGAAGGGGAAAGCTCTCCATCTGACTTCAGACCCATTAACCTTCTTAATAGTTCTGTTAAGATTTTCACCAAAATCCTAGCCAACCGTCTCAAGCCCCTTATTCCTCTCTGGTTGATCAGTCTCAATCAATATTTCAAAATGGCAAATCTTCACTTGACTCTATTCTTCTAGCTCATGAAATAATCAACAGTTGCTCTTCAAGGAAAAAGGAAATTTGCACAATTAAAGTAGACTTCTTCAAAGCCTTTGATTGTGTTAATTGGATTTTTCTCTTATCTCTCCTCAAAGCCAGTGGATTCAGCCCCTGATGGTGCCACTGGATCTCCCACATCCTCTCCTCCTCTAAATCTGTAGTTCTTGTTAATGGCTCTCCATCTTCCTTTTTCAATGTCACAGTGGTCTCAAACAGGGAGACCCCCTCTCGCATATGCTCTTTCTGTCGGTGGTAGATGTGCTCAATAAGATGATCTCCGCCAGCTTCTCTGCTGATGATCTTTCTTATTTTAATCTCAAAGGAGAGGTTAACTCTATTAGGTCTCTCTAATTTGCTGATGACACCCTTATTTTCTGTAAAGCTGACAACAGAGACATTTTCACCCCTAAATCTATTTTTTTTATGTTTGGAAGCATCTCTGGTCTCCATATTAATCCATCTAGATCCACCCTCTTCTACCTTGGAAAAGTTCCTAGCAGAGGTGTTCATTTGGCTAACAAATTCAACTGCTATAACGGCTCTCTTCCTTTCTTTTATCTTGGTCTTCCTCTCAAAAAAAAGGCTCTTTGTCTAGAAGGGAATGGCAACCTCTTCTAGATTCTTTCTCTAGAAAGTTGGCTTTATGGAAAAACAAGTCCATCTCCATAGAGGGTAGACTCACCTTGTGAATTCTGTTCTATCCTCTCTCCATTTATATTATATGTCATTGTTTAAACTCCCCAGTTGGCTCCTCAAGGCTATGGACAAAATTAGACGTAACTTTCTTTGGGGCTCCTACCAACATTCTTCTAAATCTAAAAGCTTGATTAAATGGGATACTGTGTGCAAAGCTAAGGTTGAAGGGGGACTAGGTGTCATTAATCTACAACCTTTCAACTTAGCTTTGCTATCTAAATGGATTTGGAAGATCCTTGACAGAAATTCCTATATCGGTAAAGCGATCATGTCTATTTACTCTGTTAATGGCTCTAACCCTACAACTCACCCCCCTAGATCCTCAGCTTCTAAACTGATTAAGGACTTATTCTCTATTCATGACCCTTTCTTTCATTTGGTCCGATGGAAATTGGGGGATGGTAAACTTTGTAGATTTTGGCAAGATAAATTGTCGGGAGACAACACCCTCGGTAGTCTGTTCCCCAGAGTGCATCAGCTTGCTTTTGCCAATTCAACTGCCACTATTTATCATGGCATTTTCATCAATAACTCCTGGATGTGGCACCACATTATCAGAAGAGGCAATTCAGATGAAGACAAATACCAGATTGAACAGTTATATCTTAAGCTTGAGTCTGTTAATTCTCCTCTAGTTGCCATCAGAGATGAGATTTCCTGGCACCATCACCATTCAGGAAAGTATATTATCAAATCTCTCTATTCTATTCTTAACTCAGGAGGCACTCTCTCTCATTTACATAAATTTATCTGGAAGTTGCCCACTCCGCTTAAGGTGAAGATTTTCTTTTGGTCCTTGAGTTTGCACAAATTAAACACAAGAGATGTTTTAAGGTGAAGATTTTCTTTTGGTCCTTGAGTTTGCACAAATTAAACACAAGAGATGTTTTAGTCAAAAAGGGTTGGACAGGGGATACAGTTTGCCTTGAGTTTGCACAAATTAAACACAAGAGATGTTTTAGTCAAAAAGGGTTGGACAGGGGATACAGTTTGCCCCATGTGCAGTTCAGACACTGAAACCCATGATCACTTGTTCAATGATTGTTCCTTCACCAGATCGGTCTGGTCTCTTCTCTTCCCTAATGGCCAATTTGGTTACTGGCCGCAGGGGATTGACTCCCTTATCACTGCTCAAGGTGACTTCTTCCTCAATAAGAACATCAAATCTCTATGGAAAGTCATTCTTCCCTGCTGTTGTTGGTGGTTATGGTATTGCAGGAATAAGCTCATATTCGACAAGCTTCATACACCTACTTCCCTGCTGTTGTTGGTGGTTATGGTATTGCAGGAATAAGCTCATATTCGACAAGCTTCATACACCTATTCACATCATAGCTGCTAATATAGAGGTATTGCAGGAATAAGCTCATATTCGACAAGCTTCATACACCTATTCACATCATAGCTGCTAATATAGATCAATTCACTCTTTTGTGGACAGGTGCCTCCAGTAGCAAAAGAGCTTCCCTCATGCACAGTGTTGTGGTTGAGCTTGGACTCAAACAGTGGGCTAAACATGGTCTTGAGGATAATGTTGGAGATAATTTTCCTAGCTAATCTTGGTGCTTCCAAGTGGTGGCTTCTCCACAATTTTCCTAGCTAATCTTTCCCCTTGTTGTTGTTTTTAATTTGTTTCGCTTTCTCTCTGGGAAGTTAGGAGTCAGTGTAGAAATTATCTGGTTGGTGACGACAAAGCCCGCTCCCAACCTATAATTTCTTCTCCTGGCTCATTTTCTTCCTCTTTATGTTTTTATTTGTATATATTTACCTCAGTTTTGAATTTACAGTTATATAAATATTTAAGCAGGGGTCCTCACTCTGCTTCTTCCTTTCAAAAAAAACTTTGAGATTTTATTAAAAAAAACCCTAAGGATGCTTTTCTGATAAAATCTTAAAGTTAAAAGGAGATTTTCTAATAAAATCTAAAAGTTAAAGAAGAGTTTTGTCATAATCCCTATATTTAAAGGGGTTTTCTAATATTTTGAAAATTAAGAGGGCTTCTATTATTTACCTAAAATTTAACCCCGCCTCTGAATCCAATTAACTAATGCCAGCATTGTTAACAAGATCATCACTCACTCACTGCCATGTAAACTATCGTCTTCATGAACGTCAAGCAAGAACAAATACAATAAAAAGAAAGTACAATATCCGTAATATTCGAAATAGAAAGAAAAATACATTGTTCGCTCAAAATACATTGTTCGCCCAAACCGAAGATTTTGTTACCAATAAACTAACAAAACATGAATCGAAAGTTTCGTCTTTGAAACCAGAGCAACTTCTGATTCATGACTTCAGTTGTGGTTCAGAATCACAATAAGCCAAATTAGCGGGTCGCCACACGGTGACATGCTCTTGGATGAACGACACAATGAACTCCCCAGTTTGATCACAATTTAGATGAAGATTGATAAATATGAGAAAAACCAATTATCACTTGAAAATGAATGAGAATTTAATGAACATCAATAGATACTACGAAGCTAAAGAGCTAGGGACTAGACGCAAAAACTATAGAAGCAACGTTGAACAAGAGACCTAAAAGACAGATCCTCAAATTACAACGGAGTTAAACCTAGACAATTACAAGCCGCTGAAGCACACTGCTATCTGAGAAAACAATGTCAATTTTGAACTTTCTTTCTTTCCTTCCATTTTGAATTGCCTTTTTTGCTCTTTTAGGATAAATTTCTCTCAAGGAATGTCCGAGGAGAAGCATCACTCATGACTTCACAAGATAGCCAAGAGTGATAGCCAGCAGTGCAACAATCACCACAAACACGAAGGAGAAACCACCACCGCGTTGCTTACCCACCTCTTTCCTCAAAAGCTCCTGCACAGAGACACAAGCTAAACAACAGCTACAGCGGATATCAGAGGGAAATAGTAAATGAGAGTCATGAGTTACTATTCTTCTGCATGCACCAACAAGAATCATAAAATGATAGTACAAAGTACAAACTTACAGAATAGTATCAGTTAAAGCTTCAATCTCATGTCATTTTCTTCAGAAGACTGAAGAACTATGCTTAATTAAGACAATCTATCACCTAGGTTTGTATTCTTCAGAAACTGCATGACAAGGAAATCTTATCTAGCAGGCAAATTTACATGTTTAGGCTGTTTGATTGACAAGAAATGGAGCCATCATAGTTTATGCTGAAGCTGAATTTCTACTTTTAATGCGTGATAAACTCGGCCATGAGAGTGATATGCACCAAGGAAAATGATGTAGGGGAGCCCGCCTTATCATGGGGCCTGCTGTGGGAAATATCACATCCGCCCATCAATTGGACCCAGCTAAGGCACATTGGTGCAAAGCGGGTTCAAGGTTCCACTAATAGACCTGATCTGATCACAGGTTCCACTATTAGACCCAATCTGACCACCCCAAACCCGACCCAGATTCTATATTCTTCTGTTTAATGGGTGTGCTTATATTTTGGGTTTCAACATGCTTGATCTCTTTTCCCTAATCCTAGCTATTTGAAGTATTCAAGAGATGGCAATCCTCAATTGGAAACTATTGACCCTCTCTCCTCTTTATTCCACTGCTTCTGTTCTCCTTTTAGTTCAGTGCTTCTGGATGTCAGGTGCCTCTCCCTACCCCATTTCCTCCTCTGCATCTGGCTTTATGCCTCTACTAGGTTGCTCTACCTCCTATTTCATGGTGCTGCTTCATTCTTCCGTCTTCGTCTAATAAGCTGATGGGGTATGATCACTTGTAATGCTTGTACCTCTCAGACCTGTTAGAATTTGTTATGTTGGAAGTAATAAATATGTGGTGTTTTGTTAGTGTACATGGTTGTCATTTTGGGGTAATATTTTGGTAGATCAGTTCCTGGAAGACCATGTCCTTCTATAAAATGATCTCGTATAAATTACTGTAATCTTTACGAGTGAATTACCTTGATAGTACTACAAAGTGGCACGTCCACACAGTTCATATACTCATATTTGTCATACTAGAAGTAATCAAATCACTTGATGTATTCCCTGACAATACATCATCAATTCTCTTGGAATGATGCAGAAGCAGAAGAGTGGAGACGCCAAGACAGACTGACAGAGTAATAAAATTGGAATGTGATTTAAGCTTAATAAACAGACAAAACTCAAATAAAATTGTCGAAATCAAACTCAGCAGACTAAGATTAGAATAAAAACATAGAAAGCAAACTCAACAGGCTAAAATTAGAATAAAAATGTAGAAACAAACTTAAGCTGAATCAGCTAGATTCCTTTCCCAAGTTTGAGCCAGACTGCACATTTACAGTCCTTCCATTAGAAAATTAAAACAACAGTTCATTTGCTAAAATTACAAGTCACTAGCGCTATGCAGTTATGCACAAAGAAACAATCAAGTTTATGATGATCAGTTTTTCAAAGTAGATTTCAGGGGAAAAGATAAGATGGACTAGCATGCCAATGACTTAGAAGCTAAGTGAACACACACCTAGGTTAACAGGTTAACATTATCGTTATTAAAAGAATATAGTGCTATGCAACAAAAAATAGCATCTGAAAAGAAATGATAGGCAAATATTGCCACTTAGCAACGAAAAGGAATAAGATAGAAGAAACAAAACAATCAGAAAAGAAACAACAAAAAGAGGAAAATCAGAAAAAGGAAAAAAGAAAACATACAAGTATACAACAAAGAAGAACAGGAGATAAACAGGAAACTGAGAAAGAGAAAAATAAAAGAAAAGAAAAGGATGAGAAAATTAAAAGAGGAACGAAACACAACTACATAAGAGATGGGTCAAGCAGACAGTTCTAAGAAGCTATTGGTTTTATAATATAGCAAAAATTGTTACCAATAATGGGTCTAAATAGATTGGCCTAGTAGTTTTACATCATTATATAGAAGAAAGAAGAAAGAGAGAGGGTTGACCTCATGGTGATTTTTTATTGGTGTTGATGTTAACATAGGAAGGGGAAAAGAGGTAGGCGTGCAAATGGATAGAATACGGCTCAGACATGATACTTACCATTTCCATATCACATTACCAATCACACGAATACAAATATGGATGTCTCCGTAAGGAAAACTCATATCTATATACGCCAAAATGGGATACGGATATGGATATACATGTGGATATGAAACAGATATGAAAAAACCAGATAAGATTGAAAATATACAGTTCATATGATACAAGAGAGTTCATTACTATTATGCTATATCTGAAAAGCTAAAATTGGATCTCTTGATCATCAAAACTAACCTCAAATACATTGATCTAAGGATCAAAACAACTGCAACTGGATGATCAACATATATCTGGATACTGATACTTTTTTGCACCCTTAAAACAAGGGGCGGTTTCAGGGTTCTAATATGTATAAATGGTTCTGATTATGTATACATAGGGTTGATTTGCTTAGAAGTTCCACCTCATCAACAACATGTATTATCATATTCTATAGACAACATTTAAACAAGAAGGGTTTAAACAGCAAACCACTTCACTAAGAGATAACAAACAGCGCTCGACCTCCTTGTGCAGAGGTGGACGCTTCAGGGCATAGACATGGACTTTCAAAGAACTAAACATTAAGGATATGTCAGATCAGCCTAATAAGCTCAGTGTGCTGCACATGCAACACGGAACCTACTTTACCATCATCTCTTGTAAGTGATAGACTAACAAACACATCGAGACACAGGGAGAGAGTGCAAAATTCAACAGCTAAAACTTAAGTTTTGATTTAATCAGCAAACATTCAACAATTAAGAAATTAAAAAGTAAAGAAATGGATAACCAAATCAAGGAAACTAGTGATTAACATATAGATAATTAATACTATATATCATTCAAGGCCTCCAAGGAATGAATAGGATCAATTCACATCGGCAAAGGTAACCAAAACGACTGTATATAAGCACATATTACACTCTTATTTTGTAGCATGTTTAGACTAGAAAACAAAGGACTCGTGTCCATTGAATAACACTAGCAAATGATACTACAATACAGAGCTGTAATACTAGCAAATGATACTACAATATAGAGTTGTGATACTCACAAGTTCCTGTCGGAGTTTATGTTTCTGTTGGATTGCAGCGTTCTTCTCCTCGGTAAGCCTTGAAATAAATGCCATTGCCTGGGGAAGCACGAGAAAGAAACCCGCTTTCAATTCATATGGTGTGAAATAATTGTAAATATGCTGGATTAAAAGAACATTATTCATGAGGATATTTTGATTTACAATAACCATGAGATGCATAAAACAAACATTCTTCCTTGCAAACTCTAGTGAGAACAAAGGATGTAATAAGTTTCCAATGCAATTGTCGCGTGTTTTCTAATTACTAAAACCTAACTTAATTTCATTCTACAGGTTATATTGACATTATAGGAATGTAAGATTTAGATACCAGATACGTGCAGCCACATAGTGACAATTGAGTAAATATGGGAAACCTGCAACCTTTTTGGAACTTCCATCTTAGTATCTCATGTGAATAAGAATAAAAATATGAATCATGCTTTAGTTATAGAGGAACTTAATATGCAAAATTAGGGAAACCTGCAACCTCTATGGAACATCCATCTTAGCATCGCATGTAGATAAAAATAACAAAGGAACCTTGCTTTAGTTAGAGGACATCCATCTTCTAGCATGTCTCAATTTTGAACAGACCAAATTACCTATGGCTATAAGGATTTGATTGGCAAGTGCAATATTTTAAATCTATATTTAAAATCACCTGTTTATAGGCTTACAAAATATTATAATTGTGAAATTAATCAAAGAACACATGTTAATAAAAATATAAGGGCAAAGTAAGACCAGCCATAGATGCAGGAAACGTGGGACACTATAGCAAACCATGACCTGGGTTCAATCATGCCAGAACATGGGACACTATAGCAAACCATGACCTGGGTTCAACATTTCACAACATTCAACATTCAACAAAAAGTTCATACCACAAAACAATCTACAAGCCATTAAACAATCTCAAGACACAACAAATACAGCCTAATCTTAAATCTTCATGTTATCACCAACATAGGATCCACCCGCTTCTAACATTCATACTTAAGTTCCTTCTTTCTCTGCTGGACTTATCCCTACTTTTTCTCTCTTTTTTTGTGTATTAATCGTGTACCTCATTACTAAATTGCGGAAAACTCCATGTGTAAAAAGTGTAAGTACAGAATCACATAGGGAAAGTAGGTCTTTCCCTGGAAAACCGCATCTCTCCTCTATGACGCTCAGTTTAATAGCAACATTTGAGGTAGCAACGTTGGAGCTGAAGACAAACATTTCACAAATCAGTTTATGAAACTGATTGTATGATTTTGAAATGGAATTAAGATGATATTTTTCCAACATAGTATAGCAAATGGTAACTTAGAAAAAAGACCACAGGTGCAACAATAGCGAACGACGAGATCCGACGAAGACGACGATGACAAACAGCAAACGGCGAGATCCGACGAAGACGACGACGACGAACAGCAAACGGCGAGATCTGACGGCCTGGACGAAGACGAATAGGGTGGCTAGACGCAGGCGGCGGGATGCGGGCGACGCGGGTGGCTGGACGCAGGCGGTGGGTACTGAAATAGATACACTAGAATACTAGAGGAGGGTGAATAGTGTTCTTTTAAAATTTATGCAAAGTAGATTATAAATTGCAAAGAAAAATGGCAATCTCAGAAATTCACAATCTCAAACACAAGGTTTTATACTGGTTCCACCAATCCGGTGTACATCCAGTCCCTAAGCAAATCTCGCTTGAGAGTTTCCACTATGATTTTGAATAAACTTACAAAATCAAAAGCAAACCTGACCAATTTGTAAGTCCCTGCAAATTGCAACACCAATTGACAAACACCTTGCCAATTTGCACACCAATCTCTAAACCAAGAGATTAACACCTCTCACAACTTGAGAAAACTTTTAAAGCAATAATTTCAATTCCTATAAGCCTTGATTTGTAGTGTAGTGTAGTAGTGGTTTATGAATGATTCTCACTTCTGTAAATTGCCTAAACAATAAGTATTTGAATGAGATTCAAAGGCACTTTCAGAAACTTTTCTTTTTCTCAAAATCTGAATATTTTTCACTTGAAAAAATGCACAAAGATCAAAGCTTATGGGTATGTGAGTCTCTACATTTTTTCTGAACAAATAACCTATTTATAGCCCTTGAAAAGATAATTTTTTAAACTTTAAAAACGTTTAAAAACGGCTATAAACTGTCATAAATTCAAACTTTGAATTCTAGAAAAACTGTATCTGTAGTCGACTACAATACAAATTAGTCGACTACTCTGAGTTTAAATAGATTCTGTGTATCCAGAAAATTTCTCAGTAGTCGACTACAATGCTCATTAGTCGACTATACTGTAAAATAACAGAAACTTATGTTTCTGTCAAACACTTAAGTAGTCGACTATAATCCATATTAGTCGACTATACTGTAAATTCACAGAATCACATTTAAGTTTTATACACGAGTAGTCGACTACTATTCTAATTAGTCGACTACTAAGAGTAAAAAATATGAACTAAAAAGTTTTTATACTCAAGTTTTAACTATAATTCTAATGGTTAACATAGGGGATTTCTATAGTTAACCAACACACTAAGCCTGTGTTAGTGTGTTCTAATATTGTGTGTGTGCGTGTGTGTGATCAAGGCTTGTACAATAATTCTAAGTAAAGAAAATGTAAAATACATTATCTCATATGTTCTTCATCTTCTTCACTTCATAATACCTTGAAATCTACTTGCACTTGTTCATATTTTGATATTGAAATCTGCATATAAAAGTTAGTGCATGTGTATATAATTGTTATCATCAAAATACTATTATGGAGATATGATATTCAACAAATATCCGTATCTGTAATCCTCGTATCCGTATCCGAAAAAAATCTAAAACCGTATCCGCCCGGTTTCAAAATTAGCTTACCATATCTGCATCCATTCGGATACGGATGCAGATCGGTTTGGATATATGGCACCCCTAACCTTGAGTCTTGAGTCTTGACCCATTCCCCAAACTAAGGCCCTACTTATGAGCCCTAACCATACCTAATTTCCGAGAAGTTCCAGCCAGGACAATGGCAGGATTTCTAAGGTGGGATGGTGGACCTTTGAGATGACTCCAAGTCTCCAACTCATTATTATCCCTAGTACTAACTTAGTTTAACCTAGCGGATGAGAATTAACTGTTAGTTTTTATGATTATGAGGATCAGAATGTAACTACAAGTTTTTATTTAGTCCATACGATGATACCTTATGCAGGACAAAAAGCCTCCTCCCCTATGGCTCGCTTGATAATGAAATAAACAATCCATCAGGAAACAAGAAAAATGAGTATTTTCTAGTTGTCACAATTGTCCAAAATGTTCTACAACAGAATAGATCGAAATTTTGTTTTTTAAGTGAGTTTACAGCACTGGATATCTTGATATACAAAAATAGTAAGCGGGAACTCTAGTTAGACAAAATATCACAGCTTTCATGTTCATATGCTTAAAATATTATCAGTTTTATTGTAAGTTCCAAAACCATTAATATTTGAAACTACATAAGACATCTATTAATCGAAATGGAAGTAAGAAATTGCAAAGAGAACTCACCTCTGAAGATTTTTCTTGAGGTTCAGTACATGATCTCAATGTCTATTACAAACAAATGCACCATTAAAAAGGTAAATGAAAAATAATAAAACAATTATTATAGCAAAAAAAACTTAAATACTCACGTTAGCAAATTCCTGCGAGGTTGCAGTCCCATTATCTGACACAGAAGCCCTAGGAGAAGATCCTTCATCAGATCCCTCCGGAACTGGAGATGGAGGTTGAGGCGGCGACACATAAAGAACTCGCAGTTTGACCTCATCTACCGTATTACCTGACTCTTTAGTAAACTGAAGAAGACCAAATTGCATGCATCAATCATAGTCTCTTGATTCAATAAAAACTCGCAGTCCTATTTAGCAAACTAAACAAGTATTATTGTCATGATCAAAGTTTATGGCATAAAGAAAGGCTCAATAATCTCCTTAGTTCCAACTATGGGCTCTCAACTCCAGAATATCTCTCGGTTTTAGTAGAATAACATATTTACAAACCTAATTTCAGGAAACAATACCCACTCTATATTCCTGCTAACATCTTCATGCATAAACCCCAACTAAGATTGAGAGACGGGCATGGTATGAACATATAAGCAAAGCACATGAAACCAAGTATTAAAAAAGTAATTAATACCCTTCACAGTTTTAGAATCCAGATTCAAAATAACCAAAGAGCCTAGAAGTCCTCTTGAACAAACGACACAAAAGTCAAATTCACACACCGGGGCACAATCTTTCAATTCAAAAAGCAAACAATAAACCCAACTGCATGCATAATTACTTCAAATTCCAAGAAAGTACCTCATAGACACAAATCAAAACAAAATTAAAACTACATTATTTTATTAAAAAATTACCATTTCGGGTGTGATATCCTTCATAGTGACTCCTGTCATGGTGACAACGCTTTGAACAAGAAATTTGTCTTTGCATTGCATGTCAGGAGGCGCTTCCTTCTGCGCTTGCATGGTAACTATAACCAAAAAAATTAAATAATTAAGTCCATTTCTCTTATTAGACCCTAAATTCTTTCTTAATAGTACATTATGCCCCTCAAATCTTCATATTTCAAATTCACAACCCCAATTCTATCGAGCTGTTTTAAACAACACCCTTTAACAGCAGAGTTTTGCATATTACACCCTAAATTCTTTCCTAATTTAATATGAGACTACCAAATCATCATTTTTCTAAATAACACCCCAAAAATCTATTAAATTCCATGAGTTTAACATACTATGGCTACAATTATGGAAGAAATCCAAACAGGGAGTGTTATTTAAAAACAACTTAATAAAAAGTAGGGGTGTAAATAAGAAATAGGGTAAGATTTGTCAGATCAATACAAAATAAAGAAAGAATCCAGGGTCTAAATTGACAAAACCCAACAATTAAATTAAACTACACCAAAAGGAGATATTAGAAAAGAAAAGAAAAATTATTGAAAATTTCAAAAAGTTACCAATGACATCGCATGTGGATCGGGGCAAGACGATCCCGGTGTTGGGTCGAACGCAGTACTTCTTCGGGCTCGTAGTCTTGACCTAAATCAAGCCGAAAACGAACGAAATATCAAATTTTTATCATAAAATTTACGCTTCTATGGCATCCAACTAAAGAAAACCAATGAGACTTACCTTAAAGGCGATGTGGTCATCGGTTTTGTTGGATAGCTGGATAGAGCAGGAGATCTGCCTCTTTAATTCGACTGATCAAACCAAAAACCATGAAATAAGGCGAATAAAACGAGAGAAGAATGAGAAACCCTAAAACTGATCGAGATCGGATGAGAATTGAACGAATCGATAACGAAAAAAAAAAAGAAATTTACATGGGAATTTGAGTTCAAGAGGGTCGATTTCGAGTAGCTCGCCGGTGCTCATTCTGAGATCAAAATCAATCGATCGATAAATGGGATTTTCTGCTAATATCTCTTTCCTTTTCTGCTTTTCTCTTTTTTAAATTAGGGATGAGACTCGAAAACGGAATTAATGCAGAAGAGAGTTCGACTGGTCTTGGTTTAGGCGCTGGTTGGTTGGCTAAAAAAACAAGCAAAATCAATTAATATGAGAAACCTATTTTCTTCAATAGATTTTTTTTCTTGTGTTTTGATTTACTTTCTTAAAACTAAAAAAAATGATATAAGATGAATTGTCATCATATTATTGAATGATATGACTTATTTTTAAGAAAATTTATTACATGATTTTTTTTAAAAAAATGGATAGAAATCAATCTTTAATGATTTCCTTATCCTATTCATTTTCTTTGATTTCCTAAAAAAAATGGGACCAATAAGGAGGACAAATGAGGTTTCCCCCTCTTATTGGATAATGAGTTGGCCATCATTAATGATGACCAACTCATTATCTAATAGGAGGAGGACACCTCACTTGTCCCCCGTATGGGTCTCATATTTTTGGTCCCTGTAGCAAAGCTCTTTCCGAAATCAATCAAACAGACCCTTAGTTTTTAGGGCTCACTTTGAATTCAAGTACCTGGTGTTTATAAATTTGCAAAAGGTATTGAAAACGAAATTAATAAATGATCTATGGCTCAATCTCTTCATTCATATTTTGTGCTCCCTAAATAGTAATATCTAAAAATTCTCAAGTGAGAAGTTGTTTGGCTCATGGATTGTAACTTTAAGGAAACTCTTTGAGCAGTTGTTGGTTTATGGTTCGTATTTTTAAGAGGCAATTTATTTCCATGCATTTGGTGGGTTCTGCGTAGAAAAATTGACCCAAAAGTTTAATATTCTAGATTTTTATCTAATACATTGTTTGTTTAACATACTTCAAGTCACGAATTTAGATTGCTACGTAGGATAGATACATCAAATGTAATTCTCAAAATATGTTGACTTCACCTAAATTTGTGATTTTAGTCGGACAAATTTTCAAAACCACCCTATTTGAACATTTAATCCTAAAAAACGGCCTGTTTTGCACTTAATTTCAAAAATCGACTTGGTTTCATCTCTGGCACTGAAACCAGGTCGGTTTCTGAAAAAAAAATCTGGAACTTCACGGGAGTTGAACTCTCGTGAAGTTTAGCAGATTTTTAACAATCTGCTAAAACTTCACGGGAGTTCAACTCCTGTGAAGTTTTATCGATTGAACAAACTTCACGGGAGTTGAACTCCCGTGAAGTTGTATTTGTTGAACAAACTTCACGGGAGTTCAACTCCCGTGAAGCTTGTAACATGCCAAAAACTCCATGGGAGTTCAACTCCCGTGGAGTTTCAGTCCAATTTTCAGAGAGCCAACTCTCGAAAAAATTTTGACTGTCAAAAACTTTTGGGCAGTAGATGCGATCAACCGGGCCACAACAAAAACAGTTGTCTAGCTAGGATTATGCGTTGATTTGTAATTTGTAGCGTTTCGTACTGTGTTTGTTTCCGTATGACATTCGCAATTATAATTTGTAGCGTTTCATACTATGTTTGGGATCTAATTTTAATGTTTGGTTTCAAATTATTTCTTCTTCATATTGTGCATTTGTTTGTTGTAATATATTTTTTATATATTTTAATCTCAGATATATTCATTATGGATCCGGGACCAATACGTCCCGACATTTTGTACCTCCAGGCGAGTCATTGTTCAAACCATATTGCTCAGGACAGGTAAAACGTTTTTGGTATATATATTCCTTAGCATCAGCACTAATTTTAATTTTTCTCAATATACTTAATTAATTTTGTTTGATGTGCATCCCGTACTAGACATCACCATGGTCGATCATTCCCAGAGTCATTCGGTTAGGTCATTGAGGATGAGAGAGTACTATAGCTGATAGCTCGGGCCGGGGTTCCGGGAGTGTTCGACAGTGCGATATATTAGGCTTGATTGGTCGCTTATCACTGCACTGCTTGAGAGGTGGAGGCCAGAGACCAACACCTTTCGCATGCATATAGGGGAGTGTACCATCACCTTACAGGACGTAGCCATCATACTTGGGCTCCGCATCGATGGCCCGGCAGTTACGGGCAGCGAAGACCATAATTGGGCTAAGGTATGTGCTAGGCTTCTTGGTCAGGTTTCCGACTTGAGGAGTGGTGCGATGAAGCTATTGTGGCTTCGTTAAACATTTCAGGGAGATATACCAGCAGATGCCTCCATTGAGACGTTTGAGTTTCACGCTCGTGCATACATACTGCACATGATAGGGTGCATGCTATTTTCTGATGCGAGCAAGACTCTTGTACATGCACGATGGCTGCCACTGCTGCAGGATTTTGGTGTATGCAGCGCACTATCGTGGGGCAGTGCGGTGTTGGCATACTTGTATAGAGAACTGGGTAGAGTATCCTTAATGCAGAATAAAGAATTCAAGGGATGCTGCACATTGATCCAGATTTGGTCATGGGAGTGCATTCATGTTGGCAGACCAACTTTGCTTGTGCATCGTGACTTACAGGGACGGTTTCCTTTAGCATACAAGTATAATTGTCCACACAATTTCATTCAACTGAATTTGAACTCATATATTCTTTATGCTAAATAGGTATAACGTGTAGTATGATAACTACAAATCAGCGGCGCGATATCGTGAGTATTACAGAAATGAGCTTGATGTCCTCTAACACGAACAGGTAAATATAAAACTCGATTCGTTATGAATATTATAGTTTTGTTGTTGATACTGATAAATGTTTTATCTTATTTCAGTTCAAGTGGAGATCCTATTCACCACCGGAGCTCGATATGCATACTCTTACACCTATCTGTCGAGATAGTCCCGACTTGTGGAGAGCCAGAGTTCCATTGATTTGTTAGGAGATTGTGGAGATGCATGTCCCTGACCGTGTGCTACAGTAATTTCTGCTCTCTCAGCATGTGCCAGAGCATGTCGAGCAGATCGATCGTCGACGACGACCTATATCGCACCGTACCGATTAGGCTGTAGTTCGTGCGGCCTACATAGACAGGTGGACTCACAGGTGGGATTTCATATAGGATACAAGAGGCACAGTTGTTGACTATACTGCGTATATGCGTTGGTATTGGGATATCATACGTAGATGGATCACGTGTGACCCACAGCCATCAGTTGGACACATGTCACGCCCACCGACAGACAGTTACATCCCTAGTGGGATGATCGAGAGAGATTATGTAAGTTTCTAAGCTATATTATAACATTTTTATTGAGATGGTACTTAATAAATTGTTTACCTCACAGGTCCATACTTTTGATAGCATTGAAGATGATATTGATGCGCACATGCCTAAGATTTAGGATTCGGTGGTGTTAGGACTCCTCAGCATGATCAAGAAGACAATAGCACAGGTGTTTCATAAGACTCATGTCGATGAGTTTGCAGGCCGTGAGGACAAGTCTCGATCATTTGGGCAAGCGTACACACTACGTCAACGACCACATGACGATGAAGTCGGCACTTCGCATGCTGATGGAGCCGACACTTCGCAGCCTCATACACAACCGAATACTCAGATATTCGAGGCTCATGCTGATGGAGCCGACACTTCGCAGCCTCATACACAACCGAATACTCAGATATTCGAGGCTCATCAGCAGAAACGCAGGGGGCAGGAAAGAGCGAGGGGGAGGGGGAAGAGAGGGAGAGGAAGGAGAGGATCTATTTTGGTTGTATGTGAGCTTATTTTGTTAAAATTTGTAACTTTTATGAATTTTCAAATACTATACTTTTGTGGATAAATTATTGTTTATATATGTACTCTTTGTGAGTATTGTTTGATTCGTGTTTAATTCATGGTAGAATTATGTATATATTGTTGTAATTCAGTGTATATGAGATCAATTATTATTAACATGTAAATATAACGTATATGAGGTATGTTACGTATAGAACATGCACAGGTTATTGTGCATGTTTTGTAAAACCTACAACTCCACGGGAGTTGAACTCCCGTGGAGTTGCAGTCAAATTTTTTTCGAGAGTTGGCTCTCTGGAAATTGGACTGAAACTCCACGGGAGTTCAACTCCCGTGGAGTTTTTGGCATGTTACAAGCTTCACGGGAGTTGAATTCCCGTGAAGTTTGTTCAACAAATACAACTTCACGGGAGTTCAACTCCCATGAAGTTTGTTCAATCAGCAAAACTTCACGGGAGTTGAACTCCCGTGAAGTTTTAGTAGATTGTTAAAAATCTGCTAAACTTTATGGGATTTCAACTCCCGTGAAGTTTCAGAATTTTTTTTTTCAAAAACCGACTTGGTTTCAGCACCAGGACTGAAACCAGGTCGGTTTTTAAAATTAAGTGGAAAACATGTCATTTTTTGGGATTAAATGTTCAAATAGGGTGGTTTTGAAAATTTGTCCGATTTTAGTCACATATCCTCAACGAAATTCATATGCAACTAAACAAAATTGAGTTAGATTTAACCCTAGGCAAATACTCTTTACAACTTGTTTATGCATATAACTTTGTCATATCATTTGGGTCAACAAGAAGTTGTCATGTGTGCATCCAGCTGACAATCAAGTTGTCCAGTCATCACTCATTATGTGGGCCCATAAAGAAAAGAAAATTAACCCAAAAAATTTAACTCTAGAGCCTTAAATTACACACCAGCAAAAAAGGCAATGATATATTGTGAAGCTCTGAGTGGCCTCAATTTGGTTATGCACATCACCCTCGC